AACAGGAACGTTAGTGAATAGACTAACAACATCAAAACTTACTAGAATATGGTTTGGATTTATGTCTATGTCTGATAATTTTTGTAAAAAATGTTTAGAATTTTTAATATAGGAAGTTGTGTTATAAATTTTTTTTGAAGTTTGTAAAAAATGAATCCACCTCAACAATATAGAACTTATCTAAAACCCTTATACAAAAATGAACCGTCTTAAAACTATATGAAGCAGAACTCGTTTTACCTTGTATTTCGTTCCTAGATTTTTGACTGTACAGGTCAAAATGGCCTCTCTTCCCACGGGAACGGTTAAATTTTTGATGGGGGCGTCGAATTCTGGTTCTTTGAAAACGTGTACGGTGGTCCATTCCTCTGAAAAATAAATGCATATGAGCAATTTTATGTCTCATTCGCGACAAAATACTGACAAATTCAAACGTTGAGTTCGATTAATAATCGAATTGTTATTAACTGTATTTGCTAAGTGAGCACCTAATTATTATTGTAAAGTTGAACGGAAAAATGTTATTCAGTGCGATCTAAATTAAAACCGAAGTGGCTTTTTCAACTAATTCCCCCATTAATTAATTACGCCCCGAAACTCTATTTCAAACGGTGCTTTCAAAAACTTGATTCTCAATCACAGCAACCTTCTTTATATTTACTAATTAATTACGTGGTAATTAGCAACATTAATAATCTGCGCCAGCTTAACAAAGTCATACCAAAACTCCCCGTTAAGTTTTCGTACCCGGTAATGGGGTTAATGTGGGAACGAAACTTCTGGTCGATTCCAGAAGGGAATTTTGTTTTATTTCTGTGAAAAGTTAGAGCGATGATGTGCCGTCTATTACCGGCATGCAAGCTGCCAACGGTTTACGTGTTAATTAAGACAACGTTTTTCAGCAGCCGAATGCCGCATTCACTCCAAGATATCCTAATTATCAAAAGTTCGTTATATTTTCATGAGAAACGCCCATCTAGTTAGCGGAAGGTTTTCATCAAGATTTTACGTATATTCACCTTCGAGTCCGTTAATCGCAGATTTTAAATTTGATTTTTTCAGTTTACAGAATGATTCATTAACAGTGGTACATTTGAAATGATGCAAATTTTACTTTAGCCAGTGTTTAATGGTATTTTGCTTTGTTTTTCTCAAGTGTTTTAGTGTGTTTTTTGTATTTTTAAATAACTTGTTTGCATACTTCACGCGCTAAAATATTAGCAACTTTTCAACTGCGTGCTGGTGAAAACTTAAAAAATTTATAACCATGTCTTACGTGCTTACAGTTTTCCTTCTGTTTGTAGAGTAAATAGATCCAATGTCAAGATTTTAAAGGGATTCGTTTATTCCGTTTTAGTACTTTTTTCACAGTTTTGGTATATGAAGTAGAAAGCTTCTAGTAAACAGTGGAAGCTGATGTTGTGAAGTAAGGTTATTGGTGAAGTTCTGTGATAAAACTTTAAAAGCTCAATTAAAACTTTCAGTTTTTCAACTGATTAGAGTGAGTGTTGTACAGGAAAAAGTATTCCCTTTGACGAATAACTCAGTTTTTTGCGAGATTTGTGCACTCACTGCATGCTGGGTATCTTCTTCCTTCTGGGGGTAATTGAGCTTTAATGCCGGTTTCAATTGTATTTTCTGATTATAACAGTTATGAGAAATAGCTGTTCATAATGAAATCGAATTTGAATCGTCTCCTTAATTGGGTTTTTAATAAATTGGGAATAAAAGCTACGGCCACTTAAGAAGTAAATAGCACAAGTGGAAAAGTATCTAAACAGCAGCAAATACAGACAAGTTTGAAACAATGAATGACAAAGCACCTGAGCAATATTCTGCAAAAACCACCGTAACTCTCAAGGATCGATAGTTTCCGAGAAGAAATCTTACAATCTCAAACCAAAAGTTCGAATACAGGTTGTTCAACTGCACAGAACCGTGAAATTGCATTCAAGTTCACTTGTATTTACAATATTTTCCTTATATTTTGCGCAATTAACATCCCAAATTGCACCAGCTCCCACCCAGCTGGAAGTTTTGGGTATCCGGTAATTATTCTCTTTTCCGAATAAGTAGAGAAAGCTGATGATGTGCGTTTTGTAATAATTTATGCAGACTTCGGGATTTTTATTGGTCCCTGTAACATGGAATAGTGGTTTTTTCAAAGTCTCTAACCTCTTTAATGTTGCTGCCAATTTAGAAAATTACTGCAAATCAGCCTTGAATTTTTCCTCGAAATTCGTAAAGGCTACGAAAGAAACAGCAAATTGTCGAAATTGAATAGTTAATTAATTTTCCGTTGCTAAAATGCCTCAAAAGAGTTCGATATAAACTGTTTTTTGTTCAAAATCAACTCTATTGAATTGAATGAAACGCATGCTCTGAAAGCAAAACATTTCAACCAAATAAACTCTTCGAAACTCAATAAAAAAATATTTTCATACTGAAATCTCAGTGAGGTTCTACCTACGCTTTTTCTATGATAAATTGACAAACAGTTAACATTGACTAATTTTGAAAGCATGAAAATGTCGCATAAAACCTATAGACTGAATGCAAACGATTCAGTTAAAAAACGATTATAATTTTACTCATGTCTCAATTTTAATAAATTCATGTAAGATTTCTGATTCGGTTATTAATTTCCGACTAAATTCATGGCTTTGTTAATAAATTCAATCCCAAATTCCCCTTTATTCACTTAGGAAAACTTAATCAAAAATGACCATCTTCACCCTGTGTTTACATTAGATAATTGGCGTCCTGTTAAGTATTTTATTTTCAATTCAGATTTCCCTTCTTATCTGTGTTAACAGCGCAAACTCAAAATTAGCAGATTTTGTACAAAATCAACGTCAACTCTAATTTTCTCTAAATTTTCCATTTAGAAAAATCGTTTTTTTCGAAAATTTCGATCAGTTTTCGGAAATTCTCTCATTAACTAAAGGTCTTATAAATGCGGTTAAGCTACAACTGCTTGCTTAAAGTTAAAATATTTGCTAAACAATTCTGATTTAGCATAGTTGACACATCACAAGATTAAGATTGCTAATTTATCAAAAACCCGGCTGAAAATGGATAGTTTTGAACAGGAATATTTTACACTTAGAACCAAAAGCTTCCTGAACATTAAACAATCTAATGATTAAAATTATATTATTTAATACAACTAAAGAGACCTTATAAACACACAAATATGCTTAATATAAACCTACTTTAATAATTGGTAATTATTTTATTAAATAATCTTAAAACCAAAATATCCATAATGTTGCTGGATTGCTAAAGTTATCAAAAAAGTTACTAGTTGTAAATAACCAATCGACTGCGGCTAGTCATAAATAAATGGCAGATATTTAGATGAAATCCGACCAGTTATGCGTATTATTATTTCGCATTGAAATAAAAAAAAATAGTTAAGCTGCTGCAACAAAATTTGCACTGCATTTCATGTCAAAATAAATAAACATATAAATTGATAATCTATTTGAGTTGCCAAGTGCAATTTCTAATAATTCCGTTATTTATTTCATTTGATAAATTGTCCTATAGCATGTCACAGGACATTTGTTTAATAAATAGCGAATTGTACTCGAAAATTGGACAAAATTGAAAAATAATTGTCAATTAACTATTCAAATAACTGATGTCTCATAATTATTTTTGTCACACTTTAGTTCGCATCGGCATTGTTGGGCAAACTTTCCGAAATTTCAATTGGAAATTACCTACCATTATTCCGTTATTTTATGAAATTATTCTCACAGTACCTAATAATAGGAAATATTGAGACCGAGAAGTTCTGCGGGCAATTTTTCATCAGTCTGAAACCCGGTTTAATTAACAAATAAAAATGTTCCAACCTTTGGCAATAATTAGCCAGCAAGTAATTCTTTGGAAACTTTCATACTTTAAAACTATTCAGCAACTCCCTTAAACACCTTATTATACTAAGGAGTGTGCTTTAGAACATTTTAAGACCCACTGCTTCCACTTAGAAAGTGGTTTAGGGGAGAATTCTGTCTGTTTTTTGACCGAACATTTTTCGCTTGTATCAGTACATTTATTTTTATGATTTTTTTGCGATAGTATCTCGATCATATCCTTTGGGATCCTGATACGATCAAAAATGCTCAGCGATACAGGCACGTTCCACTTACGAGCTAAAGGTTTCAGTTCGAACCAACTGAGACGAAAATATCCAATGCTAATGGCTAATAAAGATTCCAAGTCAGATATCGTCCTGGCAATAATGGCTGATTCACGATTTGTCCTCGGCTTAGCCCAGTACATTTTTTATGAAGCCCGGAAACACCGGAAATTGAGCCTTGAACTTGATTTAATGCTACAACATGCATATAAGGCATGATTTCATGTTTTAAATAATCCTTTTCGGGTAATATTATCGTCATTATTTTTCCCACATGTTTGCGTTGTTTCTTAATTTAAAACCATCACGCCCGAACTGAAGAAAAAAACTGCTCTCAATTAACATACTTCACATTTTCGCGCTTGCTGATTATGGCCCCCATACCATTCTCTAACAACTCAAATTAAATTTAACCCTTTCTGGGGCAGCAAATTCCATTCGCATTAAAACTAAATGAAATGACTGCGAGTTTTAAATGGCAATTTAATTAAAAGCCACAAAGCACCTAATAGGTCAGATTAGCCACATAAGAACCCTCTGCTGAATATGAAATTTACTGTCGCTGCTGGAAGCATGTGGCCTGAAACATTTGCATCTGCTCATTCCGATTAGATAAAACAGGGGATAGTTATAAAATAATGCGCTGTTTTCTTTAAATGCACCAATAAAAAAAATCGAGTGGTGCAAAACCAGGCGAACCGGTCGGCCATTCTATAAAAGCAAGTCGACTTATCCAGCGATTTGTAATTTTTTTATATTTATATTCAGAAGTTAGTTTAAATTTGAAGCAAATTTTACTTCTGCTTCTTTTGATCAATTCGGTTGGCAAACAAATTTCATTTTTTGAACCTTGTTGAAAACCCACTTGGCCTATCATAAAAAAATAGAACCAATTTTTCAGCCGTTTATTGCGGCTATAATTGAAAAATAATAACGACTACATAACTAATAGTGTACCTTTAGTATTCATTAAAGGCTAATGCATGCAATGAATAAAGTATTAGTTATATGGGACCCAAAACAACAGGGTATACTGCTTAAAGCCCGCAGGAAAATTAATTTTCCACATTATTTCCTTGACATCATATTTGTAACACGGATAAGATATCGATTTTGCCGAGCAAACATATAATGTTGTTTCGTGCTGGAAAAGTGACTGAATTGCTTGTTGTTCATACATGCAATTTTCTGGGCTAATCTCAATAATTACGGATGTAG